ATTGGCAGGGTAAACCATAAGTATATCGGAAATAGATTTGCAAGAATAAATGATCAAGGCAGAATATTGGTATATGACAATCATATGAAAACCAAAGAAATGAGGAGATTGTGAGCATGCCAAAGGGTGCATTTACACGATCAACAGCTATGCTAGAGTGGACAGTTGATCTACGGCTCGTCAAAACGCTTAGAGTGTCTGGCGAAATACATGACAAAGCAGTTTAACCAACCTGACTTATCACAAGCTTTTTCGGCCATTGATTAGACTTCTCCCTGAGTCGTCCGCTTGGATCCGTCCTCACGCGCAGAAGTCGAACGTGAGACCAGACTGTTGACATGGCACAAGGCAGCATGGAGCAGTTGGACTTCTCCCAGCCCTATTCAAATTCGAGGGACCTGCTGTTGTAGATGATTTGCGCAATTTACTATTGAAGCCGTGGGAGCAGAAGACTGTCCCAGCAGACTGGAGCCGCTCCGTCATAGTCCCAATTTTCAAGGGAGGCTATGGAATAAATTCGTGCGATCTGGCTCTACCGAAGATTACGTAGCTTAAAAGTGGCAACGAAATGCTTGCAACAACGCGAAAAGGAGCGGACGCCGAAATTTCGAAGAGCAGCTTGCATGTGCAGAAAAAACAGCTTCCAAGAGAATGTTTGCATACGTGAAGCGACACTTGAAGCCAATAGGTGATGTGTCTGTGCTGCAGGGCTCGGGAGGACAGTTCCTAGTTCCCAGTATTGAGCATGATTCCACATTGGCGGCGCACTTAGCTTCCGTTTTGCAGATAACCAGACGTCCATACCGAGTTTGATGCATATCGCCCCACTGAGCTGGGAAGCCTGGATTGCTGCGCTGAGGATGTACGCAAATTGCTCGCCAGTCTTGACGATACTAAGCCTGCCGGGCCTGATGAGCTCCATCCGCTGATCCTCAAATCGCTACCGACCATCATCTCGCCCTCGATGACTGAGTTATGCAAAAGGTCGCTGTCCGCTGGTTCATTGATGAGCGGTTGGAAGTTCTCAGTGGCGAAACCGATTTCGAAAGGCGGCGATCCGAGTAAGGTGGACAACTACCGGCCGATATACCTGACCTATTTTAGCTAAGACACTCGAGAAGATCGTGAAGCGTGGTCTTCTGCAGCATCTCGAGTCAAAAAGCTTCTTGACGCCATCACAGCACGGTGTCATGAAAGATCGGACATGCATCACACAGCTGCTACTCTCGAGGGACGAGTGGTTGCAAGCTCTAAACCAAGGGAAGTCGGTTGACGTCGTTCACATTGACTTCAGTGAAGCGTTTGACAAGGTGAAACATGAGACCCTCCTTCGGAAGCTGAAGATGTGCGATGTTGGTGGCCCACTACCCCAGTGGATCAGTGACTTATTTAATGGTTGGACGTAGGGGGTGCAGGTTGATAACCACCTGACCGGGTGTTTTCCCTCGACAAGTAGCTTCCTCAGGGCACAGTCCTTGGGCCAATTTTATTCCTGATCCACATCAACAATTTGCCTCAGCTTCTCAGTTCACCTCACACCTTGTTTGCAGAGGACCTTACAGAATGGAGGGTAATTGATGCCCCCCGACGACTGTGACCTGCTTCGGCGTGACCTTGACGGCCTCTTCATGTGGTCAGCAAAGGTCAGCATTCCAATTAATCCAGTCAAGTCGGTATTCATGAGCCTGGGCAAGAGTGGTACTGGCCGAGTCTACAATCCGGCCGGCCAACAGTTACATCCATTGCCATCCGTGAAAAATCGCGGCCTACTCTCACGCGGTCATTTGAAATCCGTTGCAAACACGAACGGACTTTACCAAAACGGACCGCGCATGCTCCGGGAGCTCAAACGCAACTTCTGCACTTGGTCCGAAGAGGCTGCCACTCGCCTCTTCTCTTCGATCCTCAGAACAATGCTAGAGTGCTGCTCACCGGCCTACTATCCGCTCACCCGGGGCGAAGTGCAAAGGATTGAGGGAGTACAGCATGTGGCCACCAGGCTGATTCCCAATTTACGAGGTGTGCCCTATGAAGACCGATGCAAGATACTAGGGTTGCACACCCTGTCTTATCGTCGAATGTGGGTTGACCTCATCATGACGCACCGAATATTACATCTAGGTGATTACCCCAGTTTGAGGCCGCTGCTTCATCTGCGCACACCAAGTAGCACACGAGGGCACCGGTACAAACATGTCGTATCGGATTTGAAGCGGGTCACTGATCAACTCTGTTTCGAACGGAGAGTGGTGAATATTTGGAACAACCTGTCTGCAGATATAGTCGAAGGAAAGTCAGTGTCGGAGTTTAAGAAACTCCTGGAATCGCACTTTGCTGATTTGGTGTTTCGAGAATAATCACCATCATAGTAGGCAGATTTTCTTAAAATAAGATAGGTTTAGCTACACAGAGGTATCTCTAATCGCTGCATGTTCTCAGTATTCAGTTCGGAATGTGGCAAGCATAGTGGGATCACAGACATCTCACAAACATCCTTCAAATAGTGGGATCAGTCTGATCTCAATTGCGTCTAAGTTACTTACCTCTGCCTTCCTTCATGGACGTGGAGGTCAGATTCATGAGAAGAAAGCCGGGTTTCGTCGAAATCAAGACTGCATCGACCACATCTTTAGTTTGCGTCGATTTTTGGAGCACCGCCATATTTATTGGCGACCAACCGTAGTCGCGTCCCTAGACATCAAAAAGACTTTCAATTCGGTGGATCGATATGCTCTTTGGGAATTTTTAATGAGGAGTGGTGTGCCCGGAAAATAAACAAATGTCATAAAAGTGTAGTACGTGCATAGTTCGGGCAAAGTGAGGATTTATGGCAAACGGTCGCTGCCCTTCAATATCTCCGGTGGTGTGAGACAAGATTGCCCGCTGTCACCTTTCCTCTGTAACTTCGCCATTGACGAAGTCATGGAAAGGGCGTTCGCCGGGCGCTATTTAGAAGGATGTGGAGCTGCTCCCAGGTGGCCGACTTATTGATTTGGAGTATTGTGACGACATTGCTGTCATATGTGACAGCTTACAAATGTGCCAAGCTGCAATAGACAGATTAATATTGAGTGTGAATTGGTTTGGGCTATGCTTTGCACGCTCGGAATGCAAAGTCCACCAAGAATGACAGGGACCCACTTCTACGCTGACCCTTGGTGGTAATCAGCTAGTAGTCGTCCAGAAATTTACGCATCTGGGCAGCTAGATTAGCACCCGTGGGATTGAAGATGAGGTCACGAACCGTATAGGGAAAGTCTGAGATGTTTTTGCCAATCACTGCCACCCATGGCGCTGACGCGACACCACTTTCGCCCCGAGGGTAGAGTTTAAAATGCATCCGTCTATTTAACCCCCCTATGCGGTTATGAACCCTAGCACATCAAGTCGACAGACATAAGGAGTCTAGTTACCTTTGATCATTGCTGCCTTCGCAACTTAGCTCACGTCTGGTGTGAACGCCGCGTGCGCTATCCATGTGTTCGGCGTCGCGTATTAGGTGCAGGAAGAGCGAGTGATCTGCTCTGCACAGTTATATCACACGCCAAGCTCCGACGACCGGGCCACATGTTGCGCATGCCAGCACACCGACTGCTGTGACATGCGTTGTTTGTGCACCGGGGGTACGTTTGGAAGAAGGAAGGTTAACCAATTGCTTGGTCGAGAGGAATGCAGTCGCTCACTGTAGTTGGCATTGGTTTGTGCATCCCGACTGCGCGGTTGGAGTCCCAAGGACGATGAACACGTTTGGTTGGATACACCTGATGATAGGGCGGAAAACCGGCCCAAATCGCGTTTGTGTGGCGAGTCGCTTTGTCCGCCCCACCTCTTGGGATTCTCCCTCCAGTTACGACCACATGCGTAATATGATATTCAACATGATAGTACTTGCTTTTTAAACCATTTTATAGTCTGCAATTTTCAATATCTTATATTTTAAGTGTTGCGGCACATTAGCTGAGGTGTGTCACTCACCTTCAGCTAAAGTGCTATGAAAATAATTCTAGGAGCTGTCTTCATTCAGAAGGACGGACAATGTGAGACACATCGTATTGGTACATACGTATGTAATCTGTGTGATTCGATTCAGTGAAAGTGAACAACCCGCTTCAAACATGATGCCGAGGTGGAATAGAGGGACACTAAAGGGATAGGGTGCAGAAAACTAGACCGGTTAATGAGCAGTTGTCAGTTATTCAACCAGTGTATCTGGGATTCTTACACTTGAGTACTAGAGGTAGAAAGCGTCGGAAGTTCATTTGTCCGACTCCGTTTTGCACTCATGTGTTCATTGGCAATCGATGTGTCTTCACCCAGTGAGAGTGGAGGAATACGCAGTAGAGTGGAAATTTGCTGGTGCAATTGGTTTTTTAACCCACAGATTTCCTGAGGATGCAAGATCTATTCACATACATAGCAATCTTTCCTGCATACAGTTGGTCATACAGCGAATGCTTCGCTATTCTGGCAGTGTGTATCTGTTCAGTAGACTTGATCGTCGGGTTGTCAAAGCTATGTGCCACCTTTTGAATTCTTTCGATATCATCCATTGTGATTGGTCAACGGATTCCCAAAGCCTAATATACCCACACTTGATTATATTTGCGGATGCTGGCATCGAACGCAAGGGTGGTTCGGAGAGGTGGTAGGATAGAAGCAACTTACTGAACGTCGTTCCAAATGTGCAGCGCAGCACAAAATGAATTACCTTCAGTTGAGTAAAGTAAATGCTTAGGCACCAATTCCAAGTAAAGGTGTGTGACTTGATGTGCGTAGTGGACCTACCCAATGCGCGGATTTGTTGTGCTTATAGGGTTCGTGTGTCACGACGTTGTGAGACACCCGTTGTAGTGGCGATGGTTAAGATGTATCCCAAGCGAGTTTCGCTATTGTCAATCCAAACCGTACGGAATCGTTAAATTTCGGCAATAGATGTCCCACTGCATATCGACTTTGACGCATGCTACACCTGATAACCCTCCACTCACCCTTTCTCGTAGCTTCACACCTACGGAGATCACTCGCAAGTGAACATGCTCCGAATACAGCACAGGCGCGCATCACAAGAGTTGGAATTCCTGTGCGATGGTACAGCAGTCTACGGACAATGGGATGCACGGTCGAGGGAGTCGGATTTCGGCCGCGCCACTTCCCTCCTGGCTCACAATGGCCGCATGCTTGATCTGACCATGGGTGAACGTCTGGGATTCGGATTAGACCATATGGACAAGCGAATTTACCGCAACGCCTTGCAACGAGTGGACACCAGCATCACAGTGGAATACGACGGATGTCAGGTAAGCGAACCCTGTTCCAATGAGCTCAGCAGTGCTGTCTGTACAGTGCCACCTTCACCATACAAAGTTGCCACCATAGGCGATTGTCTCGAGGGCAGCACAGCCCATGTCGATGCCACCCCCTTGCATCTGGTGCATAAGACATATTTGTTTAATTCATTTTGTGCCTTTTTCAGATGTCCATTCACTTCCTTCTCTCTATTCCCATTGTAGTACCTTACCAAAGGAGCCGCAACCAAGATTCGGGTGGAGAGCAGTGACCTTGACGTGCTGCCTATCATCGATTTCAAGGTTCGCAGTTTTGACCGCCAGGGTCTGAGTTCGATCAGCCTAAATGTTGGCGCTGTGTGCTATCAGACGTAGGCTGCAATCCGTCAATCTTCCAAGCTGTTCCGGTGAAGCGCATGTCCAAACACTCCCGCAAAAACCTTTGGGGATACTGTCCACACAGATCAACTCGAAATTGTGGACCTCTTTATGAGACCATCCCAAGTGCTGGTGTCGTGTAAAATCATACGCTAGCTGTATTTCAATGGATCATATCCTACTGCACTACACGCAGATGCCTTGTTGATATAAAGCAATATCATATATTTATTTGCTTCTGATTTGCAACGTTGCTCGTCAGAAAGGTTTTAAAATATTATAGTGCTGTTGGAATGGAATACATAAGTGCTCGATAGCATGATCATCAACAGCAACATATCAGCTATTCGGACTGATGCTTCACTGTCGTACAATCACGGTGACCTGCAGAATGAAGCATAATGAGTGGAAGAGAAGGGAAACCTAGCGTAAAACCTAAGTGCCCTGAACGAAGATTCACAGTCAAGGCGCCTACACCATGTCAATAACACAAGATCACAAACAGCTGAGCATCGTGCAAAGACAAGGCAGCTTCCCTGTGGTTTTTACTGCCCCGCGTCCTACTCAGCCATTACCCTGCAGATAACTCAGCATCAGACACACTGTAAACAGGCAATCCGGCTAGGAGACGGCAGCAGACTCGCCACTGCTGCCGACTGCGAGTCATGTATTGTGACGTCTTGAGCCAAGCACAGGGCGGATCACGTGGACTCTAGCCGGAAAGGCAAGATTAGGTTTCGTAGTCAATGGCGTCAGTTTTAGCTGCGAAGTCAAGGTTCGCCCAACTCGCGCATCGCGCCACCCTACATTTGGCAAACGAAATAAGGCACTTCTTGGTAAGCGGTAACCGGGCAAATGTAGTACGTGCCAAAACCAGCGCAACTTGTTCTGTGCTATCTGTTGTTCAAAGGAGTTCTCATGTTTTTCGCTGCCCAATGCTGGTCTAAGCACGCCAACTTTGAGGACACCAGCAATGGAGTACCCTAAAAGTACATCATCATCCCTCGAGCATTCTTTTTCAATGTCTAAGGCAAAGTGAGGGCTCACGGTAAGCTCACTTCCCCTTTTTAAATCAGTAGCAGTGTATGACAGGGTTGCCCCATGCTCCCGTTCCTCTTCAATTTTGCGATCGAGGATACCCTATTAAACATTCTCGTGGGATTTCAGCGTTTTGGTGTAGAGCGTCTTCTAGGCAATTGCGAGAACGATTTAGATTGTGCGAATGATATTGCCTTGCTTGGGGATGACGCACAGAGTACACAGGCAGTTCTAAACCGCTTGGCGATTGAAGCATCAAAATATGGTATGATCTTTACCCCTAATGCTGTGATATTGTGATCGGTCAAAGATACTCCGTGCTGTCTGGTATTCCTAGAATTACATCCATAGGAGCAAATCTAGCAAGGCTACGTCTCAACCTGTGGTTTCAATTGCATTCGCCCATCGCCGGCACCTCTCGCTACCATCCACCCACTACAAGCCAATTCCAAAAGCTTCATTCCACAGGAACCAATGTGGATCAATAATCTAGCCAAACTCCGTGTGCGTGTGTCCTCGTATTGACACACCTACAGTAACCCACGTCGAGCGTGCAACCGGAACAAAAAACGCGAGTGTCACTCGTCCCCTACCTCACGTGACCAGACAAGGGCAGCTTTCAGTTGCAACAACGACCCTCAATTGAATTGATTCCATCTAACCGCAAACATGGTGAGCATCAATGTATGTATGTATTGGCAACCGTCTAGCGGATAGACATAGAGTGAAACAAGCAATAGAAATCATAGGAAGAATATAGGTTTAATCTCCGTATCATCGTCATGGTGCATTAGCTGAAGGTGAGCAACACACTTCAGTTATTGTGTGGTAAGAAGAGCGGAAATGTTTTTTTATTTTTTCGCGCGCCATTTTTTCCTTGTGTCGTTCGCAGTTGTTAAGCATTAGACATCTACATCTAAACAAGTATGTACCCAAATCTTCCACTGGTTTCGACTGCGCGCCATATATTGCAATGTCTAGCCATCGATATTCCTCATCCTTTGCCCCCGAACCAGGGAGGCATGCAGGTCCAACGACAGCAAGACGTGAAGTCAACGATTCCACATGCTGATTCCAAGTGGACGACTGACCACCACGCGATCTCTTCCAGCCAAGCCCTGCACGAGCGAAAAGGGCGCAGTGAAGCAAACGCTCAGCTGGTATAAGCTAAACGTGACTGTCCCATCTTAGCTGACGCAGCAAAATCGGCTTGTTGTGGAGCGTACTCGCATCCCCTAGGACCCGGCGTCGGAATTCACCATTGGAAATATGTTGCTGCCACCACACACAAGCAACCCTCCTGAAGCATCCATCGTCAAAAGTCGAGAGCTGGCGCATGTCATCCACGCGAATTGACCACAACTCACATCCATATAACAACACCCGTCCGAACGGTGGCACCACTCGCGACTCTGTACCACTTGGGAGGCATCCTAACGGCGTCACAAGTGCTTCAGGTTGACGAACGCGGATCGAGCTTTGGCGACGCGGAGAGGAACTTCCTTCTCAGCAGAACCACCAATAGACACCCAGCTGCCAAGATAGGCAAAGCTATAAGCTTGTTCAAGCGGTGTGCCATCAAGACTGAGCACGGGATCGGGCGAGTTCCAAAATTGGAGCAGAAATGCGCAAGGGGAGTCAGAGGAGACATAGTTTGTCATTTCGCGGTCATCCGTTTCACCCGTGCTGTGCTGGTTTAAGTCAACTACGATATAAGAGACAAATCAACCTGACTGATGCGCTCTGGTTTTGCCAATCACGCAGAACAACCTCAATAGTTCATTACATGATATCGGTTGTGAAAAAGTGTGAAATACTGACTGAAACAGCAGATGGTAAGCTTCAGGGCTTTGCCGTTCGAATCTGACAACACTGATCTTGTTATAAAGCAAACACCGCAGAGCTCTGTCCCTAAGTCGAAGACTATGGTTAATCTTACTAACCGCCCAGCGGCATCTTCACCTCCTACCCCTACAATTACTAACCATGAAAGTAGGTAAGGTACATCAATTGTGACTGCTATTAACTCATCCCTAGATGCCAAAGCTCATGAGTAGGTCACACAACCGGCTGTCCAGTGCCGGGTAACATACCAATCGAGCGCCTCGATAAAAACACCCAAGGAGACACGCGATCGCCCATTTTCTGGACCGAGCACGAGCGATGCGACGCAGTTTTTACAACATACTTTAGTGCCCGCTAAATTTTCCAATTTACCAGTCACAACACCCAAACTGACATCCGCTACTCAGGATCACGGTGCGTTAACGGTCATGTGGACTGACGTTCCTGAGCACAGATCTGGCATAATAAAGGGTAATTTGGTAGATGATTACAGCCAAGGAGAATACTTAAGAAAATCTACGCCCCACGGGCACCGCTATTCCTAACTTGTTTGGTCTTCTTAAAAAACATAAGCCTGATATTCTCTTGCGAGCAATTTTGGACATGAAGGACTCATCGTATCACTACTGCACGGTGGATGGTGGAGCTTCTAGTACCTATTCGAAAGCAAGTTGCTGTGCACAGTGTTAAAGATAGTTTTGATTCCGCAGATACCGTGCGCGACCTAAATGGCATGGATCTCATCATGTGCTCTCTCAATGTTACTTCGCTTTTCACGTATGTGCCGTCATTTGAAACCATAAAGTACATCGCTGATTATATAAATAAATAAATAAACGTTTTCTTCCTCAACAACGCGAGGCACAGACCAATTGGGTGGTCTTATCAACATGTACAACGTGATTGCATAATATAGTTAAATTTTCGGCGTTTGATCAATGGTTCCAATATGGGATTTTGAAGTGATTAGCTTTTTGCAAAAAGTAGAGAGAATGAAACTGAGAACAATAATAAATGCAAATTTCGCAGAAAGTTCAAGTAAAGTAATACGGCCATCCATGGAATTGTCCCCAGGGGATTTGCTTCCATGCTGGTTATTCACACGATGGGTTTCACCCGTACTTCCATGCGCCAATCGGCTCTGTGCCTGTGTGGCAAGATAGTACATAGGCCATCAGAACTGGGTATCAAATGTCTTTTTTATTTTTATTTTTTATATCGATGCGAACCAGGTAGCCATTGACATACCTACTTTAGCCCTAAAAAAACTACTGTTCCAGTGCACTTTCAATATCCAGTTTCTGTTAAACGGTGTGCTATATAGACATTATGATAGAGTTGCGATGGGCTCACCACTTGGGCCGTTTCTGGCTGACGTGTTCGTGTGCATGCTTGAACAGGACAAGTTAAAATCGGTCATCATGAACCTCAGTATGTACCGCCGTTACGTCGACGACGTCTTTATGCTGCTCCATTCCTATCGAAAAATCGAGGATCTCACTAACAAATTCAAACAGGCGCATGAGGCGTTGAAGTTCACCTTCGAAGTAGAAGCAAACGATACCTTTCACTTTCTTGACGTGGCAGCGAAGCGTTTCGAGGATGGCGCGTTAAGGCACCACGTGTATAAGAAACCTAGTTGAAATGGCCAGTACATGAATTTCCACAGTATGTCCCATTGAGAGCAAAACGAATCCTGGTCCACAGTTTAATGAGTCGAACGAAAAGGATTTGTTCGAACGACACATTTTCCAAAGAACTGAAGGGAAAATGGTTATCCTGACAGTTTCCTGAAAGCCAACGCGGAGCAAAGAAACAAGGCTCCTATAACCCTCACAGCCCAGAGAAAACCTATATTTTTACTACTACCATACAAGGGAGAAATAGCCGTCAATATCCTAACTCGCAGCCTTTCTCATACTCTCAGACACACTTTCCCGGCAGCCAGTTTGTCGATAGCTCAATGGTAATAACTAGCTCCAAAGACAGGAGGCCCGCGCACACCAAATCAATGCGTAATAACTCGTTCTCCTGTTTGTGTAGGGGTGGTTACGTTGGCCGAACAACGAGATGCTTGTCTGACAGGGTTAGGGAACACCATTCGCCTTTTGACTGGTTGTCGAAAAAATACCATCTCAGCTATAGCTACGCATATCGCTGAGACTGGCCATGCAATTAAGAAAGCTGTCATGCAAAATGATTTATCAGGCACCTGATAATCGATCAACGTACTTCCGTAGGCTATTACTTGTAGCTGCAAAGGCCATAGCGGTTCGTCTGTACGAGCCGCAATTGTGTGTTCAGAAACAGTTCGTTTAAACTTTAGACTGACTTGGTCCACTCG